AAAAATGAATAGAAGATAAATTATATTGAGTTTTAGAACAGGAAACGTCATTTTATTTTGAACAATGTGTGGGGGTTGAGTTTTAGGTTTTACATGGAATGTTTCTTTTGTTAATAAACCGTTACATATATATAGGAGTATACGCAACATACGTTTTTATGCCTTTTTATACGCTTTGCATAATGCGCTGATGTAAAATACTGGGTGCTTTAATAAATTGTTTGGAATGAGAATGCGTTCAATCGCATTATTGTATAACGGAGATGCAAAAAAATTTGTTGTGCATGTAACATTAGCGCCAAAAAAAAAAAAGTTTATATTTTAACTTATGAAAGGTTTGTGTATGGAGTGTTTTTATACTTATGTGAAGAGAAAAAGTTACATATTATGGTAACATAATTTTCACATGTGGCGCACGCCCCGCCCCCTTACAAGCAGCAAGAAAAGAAGAAAGAAGAGGTACAAACCCAATATGTTTAGAATGACGAACCTTTTGAAAGAGAAAAAAAAAAAAAAAAAAACTAGTAGCAAGTAACTTAAGCGTAGTAAAACATACTATGTATATTGCTTCATGTGGAAAAGTAAACTGTTCTTATTATATGTCATTTGCATTTATTTAAGTGCGCATATCTTCATTCTAATTTCAGAGCTTCTCCAATAATGTCATCCACATATAACTCCCTATCTTGCATGCTACTCTCGAGCTCGCACTGTTCTATGACTAATGCGAGGATCAGTATCCATATTTTAGCGGTTAACGCTTTTTTCATGTAAGGTTGCGGATGTCAGTCGCTGTTGTGGTAAATCGCTCACTTTTAGTGCTTGTTTCCCTTCCAACGCTTTTTCTACTTTTACGCGTTGCTCTACATTTGGCATATGGTCTGTTCCGGCTTTAGGGTTTAGACGTTAAGGGTTTATGTTACATGTATCGATCAGCACGTGGCGCGTTTGCGCAAGCTGATAGGGGTTATACTATTCCATACCTGCATGGTCAGTAGAAAAAATAACCCAGGCGGATATAAATCCAAAGTGTCGGCAAATGCGCATACGCTGGTACCTTCAGATGAAGTATGAGGATAATTTATTCTCTTAAAGAAAAGAAAAAAAAAAAAAAAGTAATGTTTTATTACGTCCGAATAAATATTTCTTTAGGCACTAAGAGAAAATGGAATAACCTTTTCCTTGTATTGTATGTTGTTCATTGGTATTATTAATTCGTACATGTGTACCTAATTATTTTGCGCGGGCAAGAGGGGGAAACTGTTCCGCCTCTTTAAATTCATGCGTTTTGGCATAACGATCGCACTTGGAATCCTATTTAATAATTACATTAAACTCATGTTCGTAAAAGCTACCCAATTACACATTTGCAAATTATATAATATTTTGTAATAAAACAAAAAAAAAAAAAAAAAAAAACAGAAATAGGCCGCTCGCGAGATTCATTCCTTTTTTTTCCTTTAAGGCAACATTAAAAATTAGTAATGAAAATGTGTCCAGCGCGCAACACAAAACATAATTATACATGACGTATGATCGCGATGTGTTACATAGGAAATGTTGCCACAACTTCTTTTGAGCGGGGCTAGTATCGTCTCTTGACGCGCCCGGATTGTTCTATTTTACTGAACGTGATAAGGTGCTGTGAAGCTGTTGCAGTGAATAAACCAGTAATCACTGCGGATCATGTATTATATACATATATAATATTATGTGAACACTGTGGGGAGGGCGCCTGTTCCCTTTCCCTTTTTTTTTTTTTTCCTTCACGCTAGCACGCTCTGTTCAAAGGTGCTATTTTCCCTTTGTTTGCGGTACCGCGCAGCGGAGTGGGACCACGAGACACCCTGCTAACGCAACGTCCTATGCTCAGAACGCGCGCGTTGCAAAGACATGTATGTGAGTGCATATGCAACCATGCCACGCACATTCACATTTTCTTCTCTGGTCTGCATGACCTTAAGGAATGAAGAATTATTATTCCTGTATTATGTCTTGTTATTACGCTAACTATTGGGTTTCCAGTGGTGTGTGCACCAGCCCATTCACAGGAGATGGCTGACGACTACGTGCACTAATACACCTTCATGTGGTTGGTATTCGGTACAAAGTGGACACGGTCGCACGAACAACTGGGCCAAGACAAATAGTTTTAAACATATATAGATGTAATCACAAATAGATCATCAAAATCTACGCCATCATAAATAGATGTAATTCCAAATAGGTGCAATAAAGAATAGTCAAATGACAAAAAGTTCATCACAATAGGTATAATCATAAATAGGTGTAATCACATATAGGTTCCATAAAACATAGGCAAATGACAAATAGGTCATCACAAGTACTTAGACACAACCATGCTCAGTTGGCATTCTGCTGAGTGGAAGCTGTAATACTCCCAAAACTCACTATGGCCCATCAAGAAAGAGGAAAGCGAAGTATGTGGTACGCGTATCTCGGACGTAATTATAGACAGGAGTGCAAAGACCCCAAAAGTGGGGCCCTTCCCCCCGTATCAATTTTTCCCCTTCTTTCTCCCAGGCTCTAACTTCTATATTTTATGTGTTTTGAGCAATATGCCACCTTCTGGTGCCCACTTAGTATCTCTTGACTCTCTCGGTGAAAATATTCATCCACTTGCCCATCTTGCCCATACCACTTTCTCGTACTGTTTCCTTAGAACTAGTTATTAGATTTCTAACTGATTTGGCGCTCACATTATTTTCTCCGCTTTCATCAACCAAGGTGCTCAAGGAATTTTCACATTTATCTTCGTTGCACTGCAAGTCACACAGAAGCTCCCTTTTGCATTCTTCCCACAACTTTAACTTGTACTCATCAGGCAAATTATTGGTTTCCGCTAGGTTGTAAAACCACTTCTCCAGATAGTCCATCATGTCATAGTACTTCCTCTCAAAATAGATCACATGGTAAAAAAATGTAAGAAATGCATCTTTTTTACTAACCTGACCAGAAATGTTTTGTCGCAGGTTTGATATCTCCTTGTTCGTGTAATCCTTTGAAAGTTCGCCCACGGTGCAACCACATGGGAGCTTTGATTGATACTTTTTCAAGATACGATCTTTCCAATTAGGGTTAGTGGCGCCACAGTGTTGCACTGTATTGGCTTCCTTTTGCAATGAAGGCATTGCAGTTTCTTTTTTTCCTGGTTCTTTCACTTCCTCTTTTACATCCTCTTTTACCTCCTCTTTTACTTCCTCCTTTACTTTCTCCTTTACTTCCTCCTTTACTTTCTCCTTTACTTCCTCCTTTACTTTTTCCTGTTGTGGCGGCACTTGTGGTTGAGGCACTTGTGGCTGTTGGGGTGCTGCGGAAGGAGGTGCTGTTGGTACTGCAGCGGACACTGAAATAGTTGATGGGGAGTTGGGAAGGGGAGTAATTAGTAGGAGTGTATTTGTGTGTCTTAGTACAAGTCCCCCGGATGATGATAAGCAGGAGAATGGTAAAATCATTATGATGAAACGTGGGGACACCTTTATCAATGTCCTTAGAACTTGGAGATTCGGTCCTCCTAGTCTTTTTTCCGGTAGGCCATTCCTTCCGTACTGTTATGTTTGTTTTCCTCCCTCGTCTTTTTACCTGGCAATGGCACTTCTCCTCCTGCCTCGGGCGTTTGCACAATTCCTTCTACTTGTACATTGTTCTGTGGAGGATCCGCAACGTTTACCGCACCATCCGCAGAATTTTCCAATGTTACTTGCTGCTGCAAAAGAGGAAAAGAAAAAAACAAAAATTCCGTTTCATATTATTCTCACCTAAACTGCAACTTTAGTCACAATTTATTAGTGTAACTTATGAGGATATATATGTGTGTATAGCATTTTTTTTTTTATATATTAATGATTTATAGCTTACTTCTGCAGCATGGATTAGAAGAAAGGCAAAGGATAAAATAAGGAATATTATGGACAAATATGAAGCCATAGTTGCAGCTTTACTTTTCTTTTTATATAATATAACGTTGGCTGTAATATAGTAATTGTTCCGTATTTAAGAAGAAAAAAAAAAAGAAAAATGGAAGAGTACTCTTCTATTAGATTATATAATTATAATTCCTTAGCACGTATGCTTTCCACCCTGTTTTGAATTATTTAATGAAAGCAACAAGGAAACCCCTTTTTTACCCTTTTTTGTTTTTTTATGAAAAATGATAAGAAGAAAAAAGTATTTTTTCCTTCCACTTCAAGTATTAGTATAATGTATTAATATACGGGCACTCATATATCATTAGTACATAAATTTATCATTCCGTATTTCTTCACTGTGTACAATAATAAAAAGGGAAAACGAAAAGAATTAAGAAAAAGGATATTATGTTGTTTACATAATAATAATATAAAATAATAACAAAAACGGGAAAATATGAAATAATAAGGAACGCATAGCCGCTAGAATATTTCTTTATATAGAAATTTCTGTACAAAGTTTTATCCCAAGGGAAAGGAAAAAAAAAACGAAACAAAACAACACGATGAAAAGTATAGGGATAAAGGAATTTTTCAATACTTTTTATTAAAGAACCTGTAATAATAATAGAATTAAAATAAGTTTATAAAACATCAAGATTTTAAACACAACATTCTCAATTATAACAAAGTATAGCCATGTAAACAACAGAACAAGGTTTTTAGAATATTTCATTTGCTCCGAACAAAAAAGCAAAGAATATGTGCGCATTAATAATGCACTTAACTCTAATAAGAAAAAAGATGAAGTCAGTTCTAATGTAATTGCACACGGTACGTAGTTTTAGATTTTGGGTTCTGGGTTTCTTGGTTTTAGGCTTAAGTTTTTTTTTTTTTTTTTTTTAAATATAAAACCATCACAATTACAGGAGTACATACAACGTACGTTTGTATGATGCATATTTGCTCTCTGCATATAAATTTTCCATGATGAATATTATATACTCCAATAGTCTAATACAAACGTACGCGAAACCTATTTTTTAGTAACACATGTTGAAATGTATTTTTTTGGGTACATATATTATACCTCAAAGAATAAAGTTCAAATGTGACCTAAATACGTTTTTTAAGGTGTTTTACACTTCCTTAAACAATAAAAGGTATAATATATGATAATATAGTTCTCATAGGCTATTCCCAAAAACAAAGAAAAAAAAAAAAAATAATAACGTTATTCTACCTTTTTATGACAGAAATGACGTTATAGATATTATCATGGGTTATAGGTAAAAAAAAAAAAAAAAAAAGACGAACGTTATTCTATCTTTTTAAGAAAGAAACGACGTTATACATATTATCATGTGTTATAGGTATATCATACTGTAAGATGGACACAATACTAAAAGCCAGATGCCACAATTTCTAGTCCTCACTGTAATATAGAAGCTTCTGATAATTATAGCATTGTAACAACACTAGTATATATGTAGGTGCATAGGGAAGAATCAAATAAAATGGAAATATAATTAGTATAAAAGAATGAATAAATACATACATATTGTATTATTTTCTTTTTTACTTCCTGTTTATTAGTATTCTTAGTTAATAGAGGAAAAAAATCATCGCAATTTATTCTTGTACTCAGTTACTACTTTATTGCAAAGAGGTGGAACATTTCTAAGTGTTTGGTTGCCCATTTAACTAAAATGGCGCTGCAATTCCCTGTTCTTTCCTTTTTCCCTATTTTTTGTTATCACAGGGACATACGAGTAAGGCACAGTGTAAATGTACCTACATAACGGTTATTAAATAAAGCACTGCGTGTAATGTCTCTGAAATTCTCCTTCCTTTTGTGTTTTCTCCTTTTTTTCTTCTTCTTTAACATTATCGATGCAATTTCCATGGTGTATGGACAGATATAGATAAGTGTATACCAAATAAGGCTCATACATGTACTTGCGTAGACTGGATCCAACGTTACTGGACATACTTGTTTTGACAGGATGTGAGTATTGGCTTGGTCCTTCATTTTTTCTGTTCTTTGCGGAAACTCTCAGTTCCCCAAAGCACAGAAACACCTGACGAATGCTTCTAACATATGTGTGATATATTGTAAATGCCCTGAATGTGCTCCCTGCGCGGTTCGAAATATACTGCACGACATCATCCTTGGCATCCCCGGCGTGGAAACCATGACTTAGTGCACAGTACAATGCGGATTATTATACTCTTTACGCATCCCTCTGAACTGGGGACCAGAGCAGTATATGTTGGTATATATATGTATTATGTAGTGATGTTGAGCACTTCGGCAAAGGAACTCACGTTGTACTCTTTCACAGCTCTGTAAAAACAGGACGTGAATTGATTACAATCTTAGAAGCAAACAATGCAAGACGTAAAAAGCGGGCGTTCCGAAACAAGCGTCAAACTAAAATGGTGAACACACATGTGACTCAGTAACGATTGCACTATTCTTCCTTTGTGCTTCCATATTCTCATATTGGTATAGATATATTCGCATGTCATGGTATGTTCAATATGTGTCCATGTTTACGTTATGGTGCACAGACACAGCTTTCTGTGTTATGGTATACATTACGGAAAAAATCAAATATGCTCGATGTTGTGCCTAAGCTTGCGTAAGGGATATTCCTCGCTCGCGCCCTACTGAACACTCGAATTATATGTAGAAACGAATCTAGACGTTCCACTCTACTGCTTCAACCAATGCATTTATTCCTGTGTGCTGGTTAACGGTTCACCCTACAAAACACATTGTTCATCCTCCCACCTTCCTTCCTCAATAACTTTTCGCCTTTTACACTGATTGGGCCTGCAGGAGCGGGTAAGGCAACATTTCACATTGTTCTGCACTATTCCAATGTTCCTTGTTCTGTGGCATGCCTTCAATGATTATTAGGGTTGGGGGGGTGGCCATAAAGGAAACTGTCCCCCCTTTTATATTGTACAAACTCCTTCATGTTCCTCAGTTATATAATATTGCTGTAGTTCCAGAGTGTTTCCTTTAAAGCTCAATTGAGTCATATGCGCATACTCTAATTTCATCATCGTGCTTTTATGATTTCTGGCATACAGTTATACATATTTTCCTTAGCGTCCCAGTTTACACACCGCGCGTGTAATGCATTTTGTTCGGGACAAAAAAAAAATGGGAAACAACAACGAAAAGAGAAAGAGCATCAAAGCAGAATTACACGCAACATTAAAACAACTAAAAGTAGTTTCCAAAACAAAAATAAATATTCGTACAAATGAAAAGAAAAAAGTAATAATAATAAAAGACACAAAGAAAAAAACAGAACATTGCCTAGACAATATTAAAAGCGCACAACTTGGAATTTGCCGCAGCCCAGATAAAAACTTAACAATATGTGTGTGTAGATGCATTTACGGCAATGCACATGTAGGCCGTGAGCTTGTACTGTCGCGCATTAAATGTACCATGAGAAAAGTACACACAACAGATTTAGAGCAGCGGCCACAGTTTTCCGCAATGCATTTCGGCGTAGCGGCGCGAACAATATATGTGGGCTGCTCTATTATGCCGCCCGTTTTAATTATTCCGAAAGAACAAATTTGTCCTGTATTCAATTTTGTCCGATATACTTCTGACGCGTTCACTTCTTAAATTGGGAATTATCCTTGTGAATATGATTTCGTGCCACTTATGATATATGTCTGCAATCATGTATGTGCCTCCTGATGATTTGAAGCTTATGCATTTCTGCAGCTCATGATATTTGAGGACCCTGTGACATATGAAATTGGTTACCCTGTACGGGCGCCAGAAAATTTTACGATGAAATATAAAGTTTACTCAGTACTTTCGTTCGTGTGCACTCCTGTTGTTCCCGCTGTTGATATGCAGTTATAAGCAACCCCTTCTGTGTACTTCCTTACGCCTGCTGACAACATGTACACACAGATTGAAGCATAACATGCCCAACCAGGGTCATAGCTGGCAGGATTCATGCTTCGACGTTTCCAGTGCACAAATATCATGTTTACTCTTGCAAACGTAGAAGGAGTTCAAATTATATGAGAAAAAATGTACATATATAAGCAAATATATATATATAATTGCGTGTACGCAGACGGACGGCCATGGCCTCACATTTATAATTATAGAACAATTTGCATATCTTTTCCGCATCTGCTTTCCTGAAGAATATATAAAGAGCGTAAATTTGTAGGACGTTGCTGCTCTTTATGTATTAGCAAAGGTATTTGTGCAGTGACAGGGATGCATATGTATGGATGAGCACAATCAACACCAAATTATTATTACCAGTGTTATGCATGGAGCGGTTTCCTGTACAGGCAAAAGTAGTACGTTGCGGAATGGTTTTCACTGGACTCAAGCACTCGGGGAAGTTGTGCCCCTGTAGAATATGCTAATTGCCTTGGAAGAGGAGGACTGTATCCTTCATTTATCTCCTGCCTTCTATAGTATAATATGGTCTATAGTTGTTATATTGGAAAAATTCCCACGTGTCAGTTACCAATTAGACGAACTCGATAAGTTGGACTCAACAGGGTAGCCACAAACTTCCGTTCACTTTACGCGCGTTCCTTATGTTTGTGCAGTACACATGACGCAGGGGTATAACACATTATCCCTGCAATTATGCGATGCTATGTTTCCGTGAAGACCTATCGCATATATGGACTTTTACAATTTATAACATCCTCCCTTTTCTGTGCATATCGAAGGTAGCGTTTAACCATCTCGTTTGCAATGTTAAAGTTTATACGCAGAAGAAACGAAATATGAATACAAAAAAAAAAGTGAACAAGAGGAAATTTTGTACATTCTATAAGAACACTCAGTCCATAAACTAAATAAGATGAACATTGTGTAATATATGCTACGTGCACAGTATAAAAGATTATAAGTTATAAATGTACAAATATATGCATGTATAAAATATATATATGAAACAAACAAGGACGAATCCTGTTCTAGAATGAGTTCCCCACGCAGAAAATTAATAAGGAACTAATTACATAAACAAAAAGCGTAATATACGTGCAAACTATATACATATTAGAAACATAAAAACAATATTATAATTTAAAGCATAATTCGGGCAAAAATATTACAAATATGAATAAGCCCTATCAAACAAATAGTACGGAGCATTATACAAAAAGTCAATCTAATAAATATATAAAATCATATCGTAACTTTGAAATTGTCCACGGAAAGTTGAATACTGTTGTTACTTCTGAATTCTCACATAGTTCAGGCTTCCGGTTCCACTCGCGGAAGTTCATTCACTCAAAATATTATTCGACATTCCTGATCTTTTCCTTCTGCAAAAGCGGAATAGGAGAACCGGAAGCATAATGGCTATTGTGCTCGCAACTGCAAGCAGGAGTATGACACACACAATTGGCTGCCCAAGAACCAAGTACAAATACAGTTCTATTATATTAAAAGCAGACATGGCCGCAGTCACGGTGACAAGTTTTTCACGCGTAAGTAAAGTATGTGTCCATGCGCTAAAGAGTCGTCTGGGTGTCTTTGCTACTTCTTCAACTTGAACCTTGTTTTGTGATGCTGGTAATAATCCTTCCGATCCAACTTTGGGATCTTGTTTTTTAAACATTTTACCTAAAGCGGTGTTCTTCAGCAAACCTCCTTTGCGACTGCCGGCAGATTTATGCTCCTGTAGCAATTTATCTAGGTAATGGCAAACTTCATCGTCGATATCAGCTGCCGTTATAATACAGGACCCTGTGTGTACAGTACGATATGTTGATGATTCTGTCATTCTGCTAATTCCTTCTTGATCATCACTAACATCATTTCGTCCTTCAAACAGACTCTCCACACTGGTGCAACTGGTGGATGTATGCACTGCACCCCCATCCTTAGAAAAATCATCCCGTGCCTTGGAAGGACTCTGCACACTGCCATAGTTAATGAATCTGACAACTTCTTTCTCCTGATCATGACCACAATAATTCAGGTCTAAGGATTCGTTTGATTTATTAACGGTATCACGATGCCTCATGTCTTTCAACTTTGTCTTTAAAGTACCGCGGGGACTGTTATTTCTACAGCGTGAATTAGAGTTATTATTATATTTTATTATATCTAAACCATTCTTAGAGAAGTTCCGGTATGACACGTCCCCTGCTTCCAGTCTTCTAGTTTTATCGTTCATCACAGCATTGTATGGGTTAATTAATTCTTCGTATTCTGCATGTGTTAAGCCCATTAATTTGTCCCTTAGTATAATATTATTCTGCTTCAGTGTTTCAATATCAGTCTGTTCGTACCCGTTCAGTGATCGGCTAATCCTCACCCATAAGTTGTCGTTTTGACCAGTTACATGATTCCATGATGTGCCTAGTTCATTCGCCTAACGTATACAAATGGGGGTTAATGCAGGAGTTGTACATTACACAAGTATTAGGATAAAGTTAGAAAAAAAGAACAGTTCCTAATTCTGGATAACACGGATAAAACAGAGTTCATAAGAGCTACGCAGATCTTAGAAATGCCTTATTTATTATATTACGTTATAGGGATATTGCCAGGAGTAAGGTATAGAGCTAAATAATGGGAGTTTTGCAGAGGATATCATTTAGTTTTTTTTTGTTTTATCCTATTTGCCCTTAACTGAGAAGTTCAGAATGACGATGTATCATTTTGTTTATATATATTTAGGTAGACAATACAGCGGCTTCGCTTGTGCTCACAGAAAATGCTGATGAAGCCATTTGTATAAGTGACATAGGTTTTCTATTCTAAGTGTTTATATTATATAATTTAAATAAAAAATTAATATACATAAGAATACATATAGAAAATGTAGTAATAAAAAAAAATAAGAATATATTATCTGTACATATCATATTATTTACAACTAATTAATGTGGGTTAGTATTTTCGCAAAACTAATGCGCTCGCTGGAATGACGCCGCATTTCTTTTCCTACAGAATAATGCAAATTATTTATTCTACATAAGATAAAATTATATATATGCACTCACAAATATATTGCTCTAATTTTGATATAATGTTTGTGGTTCGCGGATTCCTGTTCAAGTGTTACGCATTCAGCGTTTCAGCTGTTAAGGTTTAGGTTAAATATGTAAATATGCAAAATCGTTAAGGCAATTTTTTTTAAAATATTTGTTTTAACAGAATCTTTATCATAAGATACAATGAATCTGTGAGCCTTTGCATGTACTGGGCAAATAAGTGTTGCAGGGAATGTTGAATTCAATATGTTACATTAAGGCTCCTCCGCAATGTACCAGGTGATTGCTAAAATATGACATATATAAGTAGGATTTAATTAGATGCATGTGCTTCTTTTCACTGCGTCCTTTACATACTTTTAATATTTTAAAATTGTGTACGCAACAGTGAAATTTTCAAGTATATATGACAATTTCTTTTTGATAATATAGAAGACGTTTATATTGTTTCATTTTATACATTAAAGGTTTCTTTAGCATGTTACAGAATTAAAGTCATCCACTTTAGGTGGAACCTACATATTATTTAAAATGATGATTTTCTTTATGAGCAGGAAAAAAAAAGAAGGAAACCAACCACTCGCCTCACTGTGTATATATATTATTATGAATGTATTATAATAGCGGCCCCCGAAAATGATGCTGCTTTGTGGTTTTGATAGGTTGACAACGACACCCTGTCACGTTCAATGACACAGGAACTCAGCGCATCAGGTAAAAAATACGAGCTGTCCGCGCCAAAAGTATTACGACAGCATTTCCTACATAGCTCATGACGATCCTACATTACATATAATTGTATATTTTGTGTGTTGCTCAATTGATACGGTTCTCATGTACTACCTTTTGACGGGTGCCTTAAGGAAAAAGGGGATGAAACTCGTGAGCAACTTTTTCTTTTTTATTTCCTTTTTATAAAGTAAAATTACGAAAACGTTTTTTACGTTCATATGAATCGGCAATGTTTGTTGTTGTTTTAAGGGAAAAAAAATAAATCATTTCTTAAGGTTCATAAGAAGATACAGGATTGTGCACATGTGCCCACATTTTGACGTACGTCTTCAGTAGCTGTTTTTTCTTTGGCTTACCGCGGCGTTATAGAATCGTAAACATGAATCTACTTTTGCGCACGCACAAAGTGCTAGAGGGTACATCAAAGCATGATCAGTAGACGTGAGCTCTGTACTTCAATTTTGCAAGATCATTTTTTTGTTACATGTAAAAAGCAATCAGCACGATTCATTTACTTTCACTTTTAGTTCGAACAAGCTTTTACCAGGCGATCTGTTACACGGTCATTGTATTTTCCTATGAATGAATAACATATGTTATTAGCACATGAGCTTGCGATTAGTGTCAAACAGAATTTCTATACATATAATTTACTTCCTTCTCGTTCAAGTTTCTTATACAAATTAACTAGGGGCGAAGAGCTAGATCCTGCTGGGGCCATCACAGGACTCCACCTACATTGTTTGTACTTTACAAGCTTAAGCGCTTTTTTGTATCTGAGTGCAACATATGTTATTGATCCGAATACTGATATGATGAGTACAGGAAAAAAAGCCAGCACGTTCTGAGTTATTATAAGGAAAACTAAGGAAGACAAAAGTGCTCCCAAAACTGGTGATAGATACATGAGTTCATGTCTAATGTTGAAGTTCGGTGCCTTCTCATTAAAATCAAGATTTTTCTCCATTTCTTTCCGTAGTATATCCACCAACACCGCTTGATAACGCGCATCAGTCGTCCTTATATAATTAGCAATGCGAGAAAAGATAGATCCTTTTCGGGCCATCCAATTACTTCGCTCACTCTGTTCGGTTCCTTCTATGTGCGCACTTGCGCTGTCGCCTGCATATGGATCTTCAGATCGTACTCCATGTGAACATCCACGTTGTGACTCACGATCAACTCCAGGCTTTACGCCGGTTCGATCTCTAGGTTGATGCTCAGACTTATTCTTACGCTTATCATTACCTTCCACATTTCGTTCCTTAACAAGACTCTCCCTGCTGTCAAAGGTCATGGGTTCTGTAATTTCCTGGCTTCTGTCAGAATCGTCGCCATTGGCTCCTTCTGGGAATATACTGTCCATACTGTCAGCATTTGCATGTTTATGCACTTTGTCCTTATTATTAAAAATGTCATCGGCTCCGTTCTCGAATATACTATCCATGCTGTCAAAGAGCATGGACGAGCTAAAGCCCTGATCAACGTCGTTACCATGATCACTTCGTTCTTCAAATAGACTCTCCGTGCTGCCAAAAATCGATGATCCTCCAAACTTTACCTTGCATTGATGCTCATCAAAATTATTCAAGTTTAAAGACTCGTTGGATTTGTCCACGTTACCACGATCCATCGTACTTTTCGACTTTTTCCTTGAACTCGCGCGGGGACTACTCTTTCTAGATCGTGAATTAGAGCTATCACCATGCTTTGTTACATCGGAACGGTCCTGCAGGTAGGTTTCGTCATGTTCATCCACTGAACCGATGCACTGTTTCCTGAACAGACTATTATTCTGTTGTAGTAGTGCTTCTACATTAGTTTCACCCATCAATAATCTGCTAATCCTAACAACCAAGGTATTATTCTGGCCAGTTGAATGATTCCATGATGTGCCTAGTGCATTTACCTAACATATAGGACAGAGTAGATACATTCATAATTTGTGCATTACGCAAGTATTTAGATAAAATGAACGAATGTGACGTGTTTAATTTTCAATAAAAGCAAAGAACAAAATAGGTCATAGTAGGAACACGGATTTTAAGAACTGCTTATTTATTATATTACGTTATAGGGAGCGTGCCAGGCACCTAGAGCATAAATGAGTATAGCGCGTTTCGCAGGAAGTACCATTCTCTTTTTTGTTTTTGTTGTTCTTTGTTTTTTCCCCCTATTAGTGTAACGAAGGTTCAAGGAAGCAAAGCATCTTTATTTTATATATATAAGGATTATATGATTATTTTTTTTTTTTTGATACATATATATATGTGTTATACAATTTATTTTGTTTTTTTTATTTTCTATATATGTATGGATTATGGAATTCTTAGTATTTTTTTTTTATATATGCAATTATTACAGAAATGTTTGTTT